ATCCTTCCCAGTGGAATTTCAGGATCCTGTCCAGTGCAATTCCAGGCCCCTCCCCAGAGCAATTCCAGGATCCTTCCCAGTGGAATTTCAGGACCCTCCCCAGTGCATTCCAGGCCCTCCCCAGTGCAGTTCCAGGCCCCCTCCGCCCAGGCTGCCGTTTCCCTGTGCACCTCTCCTGCTTCCCAGCCCACCCCTCTCCCGGAGCCCCCTGACCCGCGTTCCCCCCTTCCCCCAGGACCCTTTCGGGGAGAAGCGCGGCCACTTCGACTACCAGGCGCTGCTGGGGCGGCTGCAGGCGCTGCGGGCGCGGCTGCAGGAGCGGCAGCAGCAGGACAGCGCCGACATGGACTCGGAGAGCAGCTCCTCGGAGCCCGAGCCCGAGCCCCAGGGCTGCCCCAAGGCCTAGGAGGGCCCGGCCCGGCCCGGGACTGCAGCACAGCCAGGCCGGGGCGGGGAGAGCCGCGCTCCTCCCTCCCTCCCTCCCTCCCTCCATCCCTCCCCCCGACCGCCAGGAGAGTTCCCCGAGGATTCCCCGAGGAGAATTCCCAAAAAAAGAGACAAAGCCCAGCTCGGGACAGGCTCCTCTTGGACAAAGGTACTTCCTGGCATGTGGCATCAGGTGGTTTTTTGGGGTTTTTTTGGAGAACGCCTACACTGGTTGGGGATTTTTTTTTTTTGGGTTTTTTTTTGTTTTGTTTTGGGTTTTTTTCCAGGTTTTTTTGGTTTTTTTTTTTTTTTTTTCCTCCGTTCGATTAAAGAATGAGCTCTAGACTGCAAATCCTTGAGAGCTTTTCTGCTCCTGGGCAGGGAGGGAGCCCTTCCCTGGAGCTGTGGGAGAGCCTGGATAAGCCAGGGTGTGTCCAGCTGAAATTTGGGAGAGCTGGGGCCTCCCTGGTGTCTTTCTTCTAGGCAGACCAAAGATAAAGGAATTCTCACTGCTGGAATTGGGGCTCCTTCCCCAAAGCTTTACTCGAGCCCTGGGGCACTTTGGAGACTTCATGTGGAAAGTGGGAACTGCAGGAATCCGTGGATTTGTTCACCCTGGAGGTTTGGGGAAGGGAGGATGAGGAGCAGTGCGTGCCTCAGGGAGGAGGGCAGCGCCCAGAGATCAGTTTGTTGATTTCTGTGATTCTCACTTCGGCCTTTGAGGAGGGGTTTTTGTCCCGGTGGAGCTGTTCTTTCCTCACCTGGAATCCTCCGTGTCCCACCTCGGGGCAGCGTCACCTTCCCTGTCCCCTCCCTCCCCACGGAGACGCCGGAGGGAGGGACAATCCCTGCTGGACTCGGGGACAAACTCCTTTGCCAAACCTTGTGAAATGCGGCGGTTTTGGGAGCGCCGAGAGCGGGGGCTGTGCCGTGGGGGACAGCGAGAGGTGGCGGTGGCAGTGCCACCCCAGGCTGCAGGTGACAGTTCCCCCTGGAGCGGGGACGCCAAATGTCCCCAGCAGGCTGGCCCCAGTCCGGATCCTGCTGGAGCTGGGAGCTCTTCCCAGCTGGATCCGCATCCCGAGGGCCGGAGAGCCCGAATGCCCCGGGGGGATTGCAGCAGGAAGGTGGGAAATGGGAATTCCTGGTGGGATTTTTTGGGGTTTTTTTTTGGTTTTTTCCTTTGTGCAATAAAGTTTTGTTTTGGCAGAACGGAGCCTCTGGTGTTCCTTAGTGGGAATTCTTATGGAATAACGACTTCCCAGGGCAGTTTTCCCACTGCTGGGAGCCAAAATTCCGGAGGCAAATCCCATTTCCCGCTGCAAACCCCGCTGGCATCCTCCGAGACTCCGCCCTCAGCTCCTTTTCCTGGTTTTCCCAAATTTGGGGCATTTCCACCCAAAAGCAGGCGGTGATTCCAGCGGGGGTCGATCCCACAGAACCTCCCAAAATCAGGAATTTCTTACGAAACTTTTATTCCCTGTGGACGACAGGGACCCTAACGCCCCTGCGGAGGGATCCTGAGGATTCCCAGAGGGATTCCCGGGGATTCTGGGAGAGATTCCCGAGGATTCCAGAGGTGATTCCCAAGGATCCCTGGAGGGATTCCAGCCAGGATTCCAGGGGGGATTCCCGAGGATCCAGGGAGGGACTCCAGGCGGGATTCTGAGGATTTCAGGGGGGAATCCCGAGGATTCCAGGGGTGGGATCCTGAGGACTCCATGGGGGGATTCCAGCCAGGACTCCAGGGGGGAATCCCGAGGATTCCAGGGGTGATTCCCAGGGATCCTGGGAGGGATTCCAGCCAGGATTCTGAAGACTCCAGGAAGGATTCCAAGAGGAATTCCTGGGGATTCTGGGAGGGATTCCTGAGGATCCAGGGAGGGCTTCCAGCCAGGATTCCAGGGGGGATTCCCGAGGATTCCAGGGGTGGGATCCTGAGGACTCCAGGAGGGGATTCCCGAGGATCCAGGGAGGGATTCCAGGCGGGATTCCGGGGATTCCAGGCGGGATTCCGGGGGCTCCCGGGGCACTCAGGGCCCGGCCGCGCCGTCCTGGCCGTGCAGCTCGGAGAAGAGCGCGGGCAGCCAGAACTGCGGCTCGGCCGGAGCCTGCGCGTCCAGCCAGGCCATGCCCTCCTTCAGCAGGTGATCCTGGGATGGGAATAATGGGAAAAATGGGATTGGGAATGGGATTGGGACCCAGCCAGGCCATGCCCTCCTTCAGCAGGTGCTCCTGGGAAAATGGGAACAAGGGGAAAAATGGGAGTGGGAATAATGGGATTGGGACCCAGCCAGGCCATGCCCTCCTTCAGCAGGTGATCCTGGGAAAAGGGGAAAAATGGGAAAAATGGGATTGGGAATGGGATTGGGACCCAGCCAGGCCATGCCCTCCTTCAGCAGGTGATCCTGGGAAAACGGGAAAAACGGGAAAAATG